CTAACAGGACCATATTGGGCGGTTGAATAAAGGTAGTTTTGCGTTTTCAGTAGGGCGTTTAATTATGATAGCTACACATAAAAATGTATTAACTGGCGAGCGTGTGTGTTGCGGACAGCTAAAAAGTGCCCGAGGAGGGGCAGTTTCTTTGACGGTAGTTAACGCAGATGCTAAGTCTGCTCTCTGGTCCTACACTTGGCTGTGGAGCGTCTCTAGATTGAGCCGCAGTCGAGTTGTCGGATTAGCCATGATCTCAAGTTGTGGTAGCCGCCTGCGTCATTGGCTGTAAAAGTTCGACAGCGCAACGCGGAAGTGGGACACGTTACACCTGTACAGTCACCACTACGTTCGTTGATGCAATTAGGCGGCGGTGGCATGATAATAAAAGGAAAGCGTTGTCGCAGATAAATTGACGCAGACTGTCACATATGAGGAGGTGGCATCACCTACGCGAGTAACATTAGGCCTAGCCATGACTGTAACAAATACTTACGAACAATACACTCTTGGTTCCAGGATAACTCGCAGATGAAACGGGTGGGTACCTCGACTTCTATCTGCCCTGCCATCAAACTCTCATCTGTGGCTGTAGAAAGTCGTGTACAGCATGGCGTCTACAACTCGGTAACCATTTCTGACTGGTAGACTAATCCAGATGAGGGTGCTCTTCATTTTTTCGCATATCGGGTAGTGCCCAAACTTATATCCCCATCCTCCCTTCCCATCCCAAACCAAAATTCATATGGATAAGGCAATATACAATCCCGTACTTTGGGCCGTTTCCTCTATTGTAACAGAGTCGTGATTAATGATGGAGTTCGGTAGCCGCCTGGGAGCAACTAATTATAGCATTACATGTGACCGATGGATAGTACTTGCGCCTAAAGAATGTTCTGAAAAAATATCCCTGGCAATCTGGTGGTTACTTATGGAGACAAAATATGCAGTCAAGATAACACAAGACAACAACCACTCGCATCCCCCACAGTCTTCCAGACTGACACTGCCTACTCCAGCGACCCGGAATGTTCATTTGTCTTTAAGTTAAACCATGCAGTGGCGAAGTGACCGAAAGGAGGACAGTTTTGGTCGCCCGAGAACCGGTGTGTTACGCAAAGGAAACATTTCCGGCCTCGGTGGAAAAAGGTCGGATACACCTCCCTGAGTGGGCATCGGAAAAGGATAAACGATATGCTGGAGTTGCTTTCGCCACCAGGGATGACGGTTTGCGAATCCGGATCAACTAAGCAGTGCCCGGAGTCGCGGCAGACACTCGTAAGACATGACTCGCTTGCCTACACTGATCCAAAGCATTCAGATATCGCATGCGTCTTTTCGGCCGTCAGTTTATGAGGGCAAATGTACATTAAAACTGTATAATTCGAACTACCACACACAATACTTCGTTGACATCAAACCACTTAAGCTAAGCATAACCCTAATCGACTGTATGTGTATATACGGCAACTACCCACAGCACAGCATAGCACTCATGGAAAAAGCATGCTATCAATGTAGTCAACATCGGTTTTACGGGTGAAACGTGGCATATGAGTGCACACAGCTCGGTTAAATTAGAAGTATCCCTTGTTGCAGCCTAGTATGTGTGTAGTGGGAACTATGAAGAGTGTGGCACGTGCTGGGCCGTTTAACTTCAGCACCCACTGTGCCCATGTCACCCTGTCCGGTCATCAGAACACAGTAGATGCGGGGCGAAATTGATGTAGATGGAGGTCAGCTTTGCTTCATTTGCTAGTAACTTCTACGACCACTGAGAATTAAAGCAAAAACCGATCGGAAATACTGACTGCAGCCTCCATTTAAAGACATGCTCACGCTACCCCCAGAAGCTTCGGTAACTTAATCCACAGAGTTCTCCGCATGCATGAAGGCGTGAGAGGGACTGGGGTGATCGATCATTACCACGGCAATGCGAAGTTGATCACATTATCCAGCTGCCTAGCGGATACTGGCCATACAGTTGACCAAAAGACCGCGTTTAAGGTCGTACTTCGG